CCCAATCACTTTATACTCTACGTGCATCACTCATTGAACTTAAAATCATTAGGGACACGCTTGCCATTACAACTTGTAAAAAAAAAAAAAAAAAACCTAAGCCAATAAAGAACTCATTTGCAAAGGACTTAAAACAACTATATACCAGAGACATTTTGTGGGGGTGAAGTGCGTAATGGGATCAAAAACGGGGGTGGGGAGGTGGGGAGGCAAGTGCCTGGGATTATGGTGATGGCACACGGGTGACTTGGTGATGGGAAACCCGTGGGTATTACAATTGAGATGGGAAAAAAAATGTACAAAATGATGTAAAAATAAACTGTTATAAAATAAAATAAAATTTTAAAAAAGACCACCATAGATTACACATTGTCTCTTTTCAAATAAAAATAAATAACTACCTATCAGTAATAGATTACCAATAGTTACAGTAACAGTTACTCAAAGACAACCTTGCAGAAATAAATGAATGCTATAGAAAAAGGCTGACATATATGCCTGTCTTTACTTAGAAAACCAGAATTATAGGTACACACAATTAACAAATATTTCAGTATCAGAAATTGCAGAAATCAAATATTGTTTACTTCTGTGAACCTCAGCAAAGGAGGGGAGGAGGTAAGGAAAGGATTCTGTTCAGTCTCACCCTGGTTAGGGCTTTCTCCTCAGCATCAAGCACTGACAGTTGGGAATAAAGGAACTTCTATTTTATGTTTGTCTTCATCTACCATCCCCCCTTTTTTTCCCCTCTAGCTCCAAAAAACCACAGAGAGAGGTTCTCTACTCAGAACCTTTATCAAACTTCCTCATAAATTCCCAATCCATCAGAGAACACAATTCACTCCAAAGTTGCATAGTTATTTCTTCCATAAAAGAAACGGGTGTTCTAGTGTCTCATGTATGTCTATAAATAGAATAATGATTATTAGAATAACTATTAGTGGATAGAACTAAAAATATCAAGCTTCAAAGTGACCTACAAGGTCATATCACCAGGTCAGGAAAGTTAATGTGGAGAGAAGCAGAAAGCAGGGAGGGGGAGGGAAAGATCAAAACAGGGGAGGGAAGAGCACAAGGAACTATGGTGATGGTTCATGGGTGCTATGGGGACTGGGAGAAAAAACAAAACCCACTTCAGTCAGCGACTAAAAAAGGTAAAAAATACATTCAATTACTTATATATGGAATGATGAAGAGAAAACTCAGTAAGTTCACTACCCTTTAGACTGAGTAAGACAGAGCATCATCCATGGAGATCGCAAGGTGCTCCCAACTTTCACCATGCCTGCATTTACACGCTTTCCCACACCCTATTTTTGTCCTCCTACTCTGACCAGGAGACTTATTTTGGTCACAGTGCTTTATTTCTTTTTAATCATGATAGGACACTTTATGTCCTGGGCTGTATTTTGACCCCAATCTTTCATAGGGTTTGTATTGTCAGGTGAGTTTACCCAGATGGGTGCTGATTCCGGTTTCCTTGAGACAGATGAAACATAGATTGATTCAGTCATCTAGTTTAGTTGCATCTTTTAAGTTCTTGCTGGATATGGAAATGCCATCTGCTAGGAGGCAGTTTCTTCAAATCCCTGTAGAATGGGTGGTTCACCCTTCTCTCCATTTTTTCCAGCTTCTTATCTAACCTGGTATAAAGTTACTGAAAGTATTCTTTTCAATGTTTCGAAGTCAAAAGGGGACATTTCTTTTATACATTTTCAGTTTCAGAATTTATACTCGGTTTTTCTAATTCACCATAAGTGGACAATAAATGTTAGCTCCTATAGTATTTTAGTAAAGTCTTAAAAACTGGAGTCTAACTATACTTAATAGTCATTTTTCACTTCACATAACATCAGTATTTGATGATTGCCAAATGACAGGATTTTATCTATCCCTTCAATTGCTTCTCAGCCACTCAGTAAAAGTTCTCATAATGTAACATTTTCATCACAGAGCCAAGATGGAAGTTCTCATCCATTTCTTATACTTTGTGAGACACATGTTTTGGCTCATCCTCACAGAATACTCTATCATGCTAATTTGAGAAAATTACATAATAGTAACATTCCAAATTTGTACACTTTGGCTTTGCTGCTGTATGTTTGTTATCAGTGCTATCACCATGTAGTATCATGTAGTGAAGATGTAGAACAGTTATGATATTCAAGATTAAGAGAACAGGTGAATCATAGAGATGAAAGCTGCATTCTTTCTAATCAGTTCAGGGATCTGGTCTGATGCGAGGTTAGCCTCTGTTGAAGACAGGCAAAACTTCCCAGAGAATACAACCCAACAGACCCACCTTCACTGCAAACCCAAATACCAGAATGGAAAAACTGATCTAATGTTTTGCAAGATAGGCAATAGAATTTCCACTGGGACCTGTTTGGAAATGAAATGGTCTGTAGTTCTGAAAATTTCAGTGTAGAAGCACCTATTGAGCTTCTAGTAACTGGATACAGAAAGGAATAAGGTTTAAACTGTGGATGCAAGAAACTCCCACTATTATTAGACTAAGTTGACATTTTCCTGAACCTACATCCCACTCTATTCTGCTCTTTATAAGAAAGTCTAGAAGAATCAGCAGATGCATATTTTTCCTTCTTCTGTTTCATGTTTTATATAGTAATTTTGATTGAACCTTTTACTTGCTACATAACACTTTTCACTGTCAAATAAAATTTTTCATTAAAAATTATTACCATGGTACTTCATATTTTATAGTATGGAGAAAAAAAAAATCTGGTCATAGACCACACAGCTAAAGAAGCAGTTTTGAATTGTTATTATTCTAAGTAAAGACTTTCCATCCTAACACCTCAGGCTTTTTCCTTTCAGCTTAGAAATCACTAGCCACTTTCACCTTCATCATCACTCTCAATGCTCAGGTCCCAATTCCCACTGCAGGATCTATTCTTCCCAATCACTTTATACTCTACGTGCATCACTCATTGAACTTAAAATCATTAGGGACACGCTTGCCATTACAACTTGTAAAAAAAAAAAAAAAAAACCTAAGCCAATAAAGAACTCATTTGCAAAGGACTTAAGTGGTAACACTGAAATCCAATATACTCTTAATATGGGGTTAATGTTACTATTGTTGATATTGTCACCACAATGTTTAGGATAATATAAAATTTACATTACATTATGAAACTAAAATATTTGATTTTTAATTTTCTTAAAATGTATCACTTTTTACTGAAGTCATGTTCATTTGCAACCCTGTTCATGATTTACAGGAGTAGGTTCACACCTCTTCAGATGTATGTTAGCATACCTCACCTACCACCATGGCACCCATAATCCTCCTCTGCAGGCCACCGGTCCCTGCCTTGAGTACTCCTCATGGTCAAATCTCTAGGGTCTGTTTTGGCTTTCTTTAGCCACTTTTCTTGTTTGTTTCTTTATATTTCATACGAGTGAAATCCCCGGCTATTCGTCTTTCTTCTTCTGACTTATTTTAGTTTAATTCCCTTCAGTTCTGTTCATGTTGTCAAAAATGGCAAGCTTTCACCATTATTGAAAATAGCTGAGTAGTATTTCATTGTATATACGTGCCATATCTCTTTAATCCACTCATCTATCCTGGGGCATTAGGTTGTTTCAGTAACTTGGTGAATGTAGACAGTGCTGCAATTGAACATCTATCCTTCAAGCTGGTGTTGTGTAGTATTCTAATACCTAGGAGTGGTGTGCTGCATAATCTATAGTATATCTATGTTGAATATTTGTCATAGTGTTTTCCATGGGGATGGATCAGTCTACATTCCCAATGAGCATCTAGAAGACATTCATTTAATCCTCCTTCCAGTTTCAACACAAAAACAGATAAAATTTGTTTAGTCAATGGGACAAATCCTATCTTGTTTATAAGGTAAGATTTTATAAATATCTGGCAGATGATAAATATAAGAAAACACATTTCATTCTTTATACCTCTCTTCCATGTCTTCTTAACATGGATTTATGTGCAGCTCTATATTTACATGACCCCAACCACAAAAGTATGTTTCATCCTAGGCAAACACACTCCTCATGCCTACCCTCCATGCTTGCAGGACTTACTTGTTGCTGAGGCAGCGTCTCAGTGAGTAGGAAGCCCCTCCACCGCAGGTGCGTGAACACTCGCTCCAGGTGCCCCACGCATCCCACAGGCCGTCCCGCTCCTCCTCTGAGCGAGCTGTCCTGGAGCTCTGGGAGAAAGGAGAGGACGGTCAGCATCTTGTCCTCACCAACCCCAAAACATATGTTCTAAAATGTAGCTGATTTACATGTCTGTACATCACAGCTTTGCTGGGAGAAAGCTTGCTCCAATTCTCTAGTCTTTCCACTTTAGTAATGTCTACATATCTGGGGAGGGGATATTTCAGTTTAAAGATCCTGGGCTATAATTAAAGGTGACAAGAGATGGCACAAAGAAAGTAAATGGAGGAAGGGTCCAGAAGTAGGAATCTGGGTTAAGGAAAGAGAAAATGCACTGAAATTATAATTTTGTCCAGAATTGCTCAGGGATGTCTCTACCCTGAGATGCTTGACATGTGCCTATCAGTTCTGCTTTTCAAAATTTAATATTTTATACAAGATTATATATTTTTTGTGAAGCAATGGCATTTCTAGTTTTCAAGTTTTTTAATTAGAAAACCGACATGAAATAGCTTGAATGAGTTTCAATGTAGGAACTGCTTTAAGACAAACCAATGTGCATGTTATTGATAATCTTCCTAATCAAATCTGTATTTATTGCAGGAAATTTTCTATGTACAGGTCTCCATGTTGTGTTTCACATTTTTCAGACAGATGAGTCAAAGATTAAATGTGTGCCAATGTTAATAGAGTAGGCTCTAATGTTACAGGTGTCCTGGGTTTGGATATAAATTCCATATTTTAATAACTGTCCTTGAACAATCAGTGTATGACCTTTATCTACCTCAGTTTTCCTTTCTATAAAAAGGACAAAATATCAAACATACCACTACACACACATATTATAGGTAGATTAGCTACACTAACAATTGTTACCTATAATGATGTTATTATAAATTGAAACTGTATCACATCACACAGTGGTATTAAGTCTGCTCAGCTTGTCATAACAAAATACCATAAACTGGGTGGCTTAAATAATAGAAACTTATTTTCTCACATCCTGGAGTCTAAAAGTCCAAGATCAGTATGCTAGCATGCTTAACACCTCTTTAGAAGTCTCCCTCTGAGTCCTCCCTGGTGGCGCAGCAGGTTAAAGCACAGCACTAAGAAGCTTAAGCCACTTCCACATGAGTTCGATTCCCGCCTCCCCCAGAGGAGATCCACATGGCGTGGCAGACCTCTCCTGACCTGCCCGCTGCTCCCCTCAGCAGTGTACATTGATCTGCCTGTTCTGCTCCCCGCTCTGTCTCTGGTGAATCCTCTCACCCTCCGCATCTCTGGCCTGTACCCCAGTTCTGTATAAGTAAATAAATCTTAAAAAAAAAAAAAGTCTCCCTCTGGATTTCAGATGGGCACCTTCTCACTTTGTGAGCCTTCTACTTTATGTGAACATGGAGAGACAGAAAGGATACTAACCCCATCATGAAGGCTCCAACCTCGTGACCTCATATAAACCTAATTACCTCCCTAAGGTCCACCGCCAAATATTATCACACTACGGTGTGGGGATCCCATGTATCAATGTGGGGAGGGCACAATTCAGTTCATAGCCAAAATTCTATGAAGAGCTGATGAATATTACAGCCAAATTATTTTGCTGAATAAACTAAAAAATGATATCACAGTATTATCAGTGCTATCTTCTCATATCAAAGGCATATATTTGACAAAAGTTGAACTTCAAAATAATTTATACTTGGAAAAAGAGCATGTGAGAGAAAAGATCATGTTAGGCACTGTCATAACTTCATCCTTGGTGCTTTTCTCTGGGGATCAGTCTTTGGCCCTGCCAACCTGAAAGTGCCCCATCTCATCTGATCTGAGAAGCTAAGTAGGGCTGGTACAGTTTTACTTTGATGGCATATGGGGAGAGCATGGGATGTGGAGGCAATGGCAGTGGGCAACCTCTTATAAAATGTTGTGAGACTTTCAGATGATATAAGTAATGTGATTAGCATATAGTAGAATTGACAATGGAAACTCATTATTTAAAAACTACTTACTTATGCTCTACCTAGTTATAGTCAAGGTTATAGCATCCAAGCAAGACAGATCATTGGGGGAAAAAAAAAAGAACATACTCTTGCCCCCAGAAAATTGTTTATTTTACAATAATGGGATTAAAAGAAATCAGTTGCTGTAGGGCTCAGCTGTTAAACTGACTAATTTGATCTATTAAAGCCTTTCAAGTCAAATCACAAGCCTGGCTCCCAAGTGGTATCTCAAGGATTGTATGCCTGGCGAATGTTTTGTTCAGATTCTGAAATCCCTAAATCATTTGAAAGGAGCAGTAGGAGAGGTCATAGTTAAGAGAAGGTAGTGGCAGCCCTTCTTGGCCTGGAATGAAATAATGGCTCCAGAGTTTACTAGATATAATCTCTTCATGCTTCAGTTTCTTATCAAAAACAGCTAGGTGACCAAACCATTGTATGGATTAAAACAGTTGCTATATAAAAAACACATAAGGTGGGAACAACCCAATGTCCAAGGGTAGGTTTATCCATTTGGATAAACAAAATGTGTTCCATACACAAATGGAATATTACTCAGCTCTACCAAAGGAAGACACTCGTGATGCCACAACAAAGACAAACCTTGAGGACATCATGCCAGTTAAAATGAGCTAGACCAAAAAGAATAAATATTGCATGATTCCACTTCAAAGAAACACCAAGAGCCGTCAATTCATGTTGGTTGCCAGAAGCAGAGGAAAGGTTAACTGTGAGGTTAGTCCTTAATAGTTAGACTTTCAGCATGGGGAGATGAAAAAATTCTGGAAATATGCTGTGATGATGACAGCACAACAATCTGTATTCAATGGCAAAGAATGGTATGCTTAAATGATTAAAAAATGTAAATTTTGTCATATAAATTTTACCCCAATAAAAATATATACATGTATACATTTAAAAGAGTAAAGAGGTCCTAAATAATAAACAATATATAAGCATTTGCTGTTATTATTATTTTATGGGAGAAAAACTTTGCCATAGAAGTAGAGCATCTTGTCCATACACCCATTCAATTCACTCGTCAGATTTAGTGTGCATATCCTGACTTCTTTTCACTTTGTTCTGTATCACTGGAAGATGATTCTGTTGAGAGCATTGCAATATTTACCTGATGTAATATGTGAGAATGGTACATTTACACACTGCAATTTCTTTTATTTTATGCAAAATATGACTGAGATGAAAATCAACAGCATGAATGCTAAGATGAAGTGAATTCCATTTTCATGTGTGATAAAAACAACAGAAAGCTCAGGATGTCTCTCTGGTTATTCTCTGGATAATGCATTCAAGAAATAATGGATGGCTAAGATTTTGTTTTTCTAGAGAGGCAACTTGTTTCAAACTCTGTTAAAGTTGTTTGATATCTTTCCTATGCCTTGTCTCAAGAGGCACTAAGCTCAAAGGTGAGGTTTCACTGACAAACATCTCACATCATAAGTTACAAGTTTCAGCACAGCTAGACACATTAAGTGCCCACATTTCTTTAAAAGAAATCTCAGGCTACCCCAAAAGCAAGTCATAGGCTTATTTCTCAAGCTGGAATAAACTCCAAATTTCCTTTTAAAAAGTGGAACAAACAATTCATTTCAATTGAATCCATGTTTAATGTTCAAGAACATAAAGTGATTTTCCTCATCTTTGTGCCAGATTTTTATATCTATTAGCAGAAAATGACATTTCAGCAATGCCTTTTAGGAATCTGAAGCAGAAAGGTATTTACTTATTACACTTCTTAAGGTCTTCAACATTCACCACTTTTGTGCCTGGTTTACATAGGACTTGTTTTTATTCCTTTTTACTTCACAATGGCATTTTTTGAAATTGCAGACTTTGAATTGCATCTAGTAAGGGAAACTAAGGCAGATAAAAAAAACAAAAGATAATGCTTCTCAGACCAAATTTGATTTCCATCAATAATCAATAATGTAAATATTTTAATATTTTAATCCCAATGTTTCAAAATAAAGTTACTGATGTTATAAAAAAAAAAAACACCATAATCCAGAAAATATCCCTGATTTTACTGCTGGAAATTTCAGCAACAGTGTCAGGTGATATGACGGACTTTATGAATTGACAGAGAATTAAAGCACAACCACTGTATTCTGTGAGTAAAGTCAATATTTCAGCACTAGAAAATTTCAGGTCAAACTATATTTGAAACGGAATTTGAAGTGAAAGACCAGTATAAATCCTATGCTTTCTAGTCAATGTTAGTAAAAAACATTTGGGATTTGTGTTGAGTCAATGTTTAAGAAACCCAGTGAACAGCTACAGAAGACAGTGCCAGGTCTTGAGTCTACAATTTCATGAAAATTACTTTCTGTAAGATATTTAAGTTAAAAACAGACTAGCCACTTCTAGATCTTTGGTGCCAGGTAGTGACGCTTGAATATAGCATTGATGACAACTAAATCAACTATTGTTAAAATACTGAGCAATCAGGGCTCTCCCTGATGGCGCAATGGGTTGAAGCACCTCATTATGAAGCTCTCTGAAGCCACTGAAACAAGAGTTCAATCCCTGCATGCCAGGGAGGTGACCCACAGGGTGTGGCAGACTTCTCCTGACCCATCTGCTGCTCCCCTCAGCAGTGTACTTTGTCGATTTGCCTGTTCTGCTCCCTACTGTCTCTGGTGAATCCTCTCACCTCCACCACCTCCCCTCCCCCCAACTTCTGGCCTATATCCAGTTGTGTGTGCATAAATAAATCTTAAAAACAACAACAACAACTGAGCAGTCAATAATACCTGTTCCATCCATTGCTCCCAGTCTGTTAAGAAGCCCTATGCCCCAGTAAAAGCCAACTGTGTGGCTATATGTTGTGGTAAATGATCATTATATATCCCTCAGAATAACAGAAGATTTGAAGAGACTTTCTAAATTCAGCAATCTCAGAATGGTGTCACTTTCTTGCCATTACCGGTTTATCTACATTGGTTTCATCTGATAGTTTTGTGGTTGATTTAGGTGCCAGATGCCACAACCAAATCTCAGGTGAACAGTGTGGAACCTCACAGCTACCACAGTGA